ACACACACACACACACACACACACACACACACACAGAGCCCTCTCAGCCCCAGCACTTTGATGTGCTGTCCCCTGGAGGCAGGTGTAGACTGAGGCCCCTCTTACCTTCCCATCACTCACCTGCAGTGCAAAGATAGAAGGAGAAAGACGGATGAAGGTAGAGGAGCTGCTGCATTATTCACTGAATGTCAGGATAGTTAAGTGATTGCTGGGTTTTATAAGCAGAGGAGAGGCAGAGGAGTAGCAAGGAGAGGGAAAGGTGAAGAGTTCTGGTGTTTCTGAAGTTTTTGCAAACACATCTCCGCTAGAAACGCTCGCCCTCGTTCCCCCTCGTCACAGGTCATGAATACACTTCTTCCTCATGGGGACAGAGGACATTCATCAAGACATTTAGAGCAACACTATGCAACTTTTTTAACTTTAAGAAAGCAGCGTCAACGTTAGTTTGATGGTTCAGTGACTTGGATCAGGGAGAAAGTTTCCTCTTTTATTCGCCTCTCACATCTCCTGTGAGAGTCGCAGCTTAAACAGCCACAATCACGTCCAGTAACTTTAAGAATAAAGCTGAAGTGTAGATCAGTCAAAAATAATTAATTAAGTTATTAAATACCAGCATTTATCTCCAATATTCAGCAGGAAACTTTTAAAATATGAAGAATTCAGTTTGGTAGATTTGTTACAGCAGCAGCTCCTCTGGTTCAGGAAGCAGGGGATCATGGGTAATGTCCACCTCTCTGTTGTGATTCAGACGACACTGGCAGAGATTGATAGACTTTGTTTTTTCTTAACATGAAAACCATGTAATCGCTCGGACATGGAGTTCGACAGAATCAATCACCACGTGTGGCTGTAGAGGGCGCTGTTGCTCAGTAAAAGCTACGGAGTGTTACTTTAAAACAATTGTTATGGTTGTTACGACAGTTTCCTGAATTTAATTTGAAAAATGAAGAAACCTCTCAAAGAGAAATAAGAGATTCATTATAGAAGCTTGAAAATGTTTTTGAATGAAACCAAATGTCGTCTTTAGTCGGAAACACAATGGGAACTGTTTTTTATTGGGACTATTTCTGATGTAGAAAGTCTCGTGACACAAAAGCAAATCTAGGGAGACAACGTTCAGGTCATTTTGATGAACTGATCCTCTGTCAAGGCCTCTCGCTCCTTCCTCTGCTCTAGTGAACCCAGAATATTTATCTACATTAATAAATGTATATTGTCAGGAGCCGGTGTAATCTGTGCAGCAGCACCCCCCCCTCCCTTCTTCCAGAAAACACCTACCACAACACTTAGTCTGGATCAAAACACAGATTAATTAACCCTGAACAGAGGCAGAGAGCAAAAGTGTGTGTTCGGGGAGTCGGCTACAAATCCCTTATTTGTGTATTAATGGGGATTTAAAGATGAAACGAGACAACCTGGTACGAGAGTGGAGACTATGTAGACCGACCCAGGAGATGCACACACACACACACACACACACACACACACACACACACACACACTTTTAAGGCTCACCATGAGGCAGGTGAGCACTTACGCTGTTTGTTTGAAGGATGTTTGACGCTAAGTCTCTTTCTTTCTTTTTCCAGGAGTCCTTTAAGTTTTACGCAGACAAGCTGAAAGACCAAGTCACCAAGGCAGCAGACGAGTGAGGAGTCGTCCTCTTCTCCTCTTCCGTCAGTCCTCATCCCACCGTTTTCTTCCTTTGTCTCTGTCCTTTTTTCTTTTTTTTTGATATAAGTTGTTTAAATTGAATGTGTTCAAACTGTTGGGTGTTTGACTGTCCGCTGTGAAATTGATGTTGAAGATGATGTTGAGATTGTACAGAAGTATTTATGCTAATAAATGAAGTTAGGAATCCAGACTCTGTGTCTGGCTCTTTATTTCCATTGCCATCTCCCATTGTTAAAGAAAATGTAAAATCATTTCCTGGATCCACAACGAAATTTAACGCCTCCTTTCACCAAGTTTCATGGAAATCTGTCCATTTGCTTTTGTGTCATCTTGCTCACAATTAAACAGACGGGTGAAAACATTACCACTTCACTCAAGTTCTCTTTTTAAAGTTCCTTTCTATGGCACTTTGTACTTCTACTACAGAGAAATACTGTTCACAGCTTCTGTCCCTGTCAGGCTGTTTCTCAGGCGGATTACTCAAAAACTACTGGACAGATTTCCATCAAAGCTGGTGGAAGGATGGGACATGGGTCAAGAAAGAAGCCTTTAAACTTTGGTGTGGATACAGACAAAGGTTTGGATCCAGGATTCTTTTTTTTCCTCTTTAACTTTGACATTTTCACAATTTTCCCAGAGATTAATTCACAGCTCTAGATGAAAGAAGATTTAGGGGACTGATATCTGTTGGGCCGTGGTGAAGGTATGTGCTCTCTATTTCATCTGTATTTCAAACGATATGGACACAATAAAATATGAGGCTAATGTTTCAAATGCACTATGGTACTTTTACACAAGTAAAGGATCTGAACACCTTCACTTGTCCCCTGTGCATTGAGTCAAAATCAACTTTCTTTCATGTGCATGCTTTCTTTTTTTCGTACACTTGAGTTGCTCTGTGCACAAATACACACTCAAAACCTGCTCGGAGGTGGTTTGCAGAACGGCAGCTTATGTTGTCTTTGAAAAAGTCATCAAGTGGAAATATGCTCCAGTTCTAAAGAAAGTAAGCGGAACGACCTTCTTCATTGTGTGACGAGAATTAAAGAACACATAGCTCCACCAAGGCTAAGGCCAAACTGACATACCGGTATCTGTCCAGCAATTATTACAGAAATAAAAAGTCTGATAATCTGCACCTCAACCTCTGTGCAATCATTTCAGTACTTTGGCGTAATCCTGCCGATGGACGCTGGTGAATACATCTCTTTGGTGATATAAATTAAAAAACATCCTCATCTTCCACTTTGGATCCGATTCAAACTCTTTGTTCTGAAAACATCTGCACACGTTTGTTAAACAGTAAAACGTTATCGTACAGGACAGATGTTAAAGATCACTGGCTTCAGTTTAGATTTTTCATGTCTAACTCTTAACACAACCTCTTCGGCCCCCTGACCCTTCACCTGCACCTTCATCCCTCCTCTGCCTCAACTCGTCTGCTCTCCAACACCAGCATCAGATCCATTATTAATTGTTATGAAGCAGCCACCGGAGACCTCACTGTGTATTTGAACCATTTGGTCAAAGGATGACAAAGTGCACAAGGACAAAAATAAACACACAAGTGCAGCAATTTGATTTAATTCTTCACTAATTTGGACTCGAACCATGTCGGTGAAATATTTATCAGGCTTTTGCACCAGTGCAAAAACAGGGTTTACATAATCTTCAATCTATGAGGACACAACAAGCACAAGCTCTTTTATTCCTAAGTGTGACTTACTAAATCTCCTCTAGTCTTCTTTCCTGTGCTCTCTATACTGGCGTAGACATCGTTAAGCTTAATAACCTTACATATACGAAAAAAGATAAAGCTGTAGAAAAAAGAAGATTGAAACTGGAACAAGCAAAAGCTGCAGATGGAAATCATCCAAAGTGGCACCGACTCCAATCATTCACCAAGACACAGGAAAATCAACCTCAGCTCTGGTGTTGCTGCAGTGCTCTGCTGCCACCCAGCAGCAGACAGCGGTACTGCAACACATTTTTCTTGACAAAGTGAGTAAAAATATTTGTTCTTAATTATTCACATATTCAAAATGTAAACACCTGATGTATGTGGAGATTGTTTTTGATCAGTCAAATATTTATACACTTTACATTCTGCTGAGGTGTCGATGAGGATATTTTGTGTTTTTCTACTATATCACAGTGCAGAATTTTCTTATGCGAAATTATTGTGAAAATAAAACAATTCTAAAAAGACACATTTTACTTTTTTTTTTAGCGTCATCTTCTAAATTAAACACAGTTTCACAGTGAAATGTAGGAAAACTCAGCGTCGAACCAGTCGAACAAGAAATTACTTCCTTTCAGTACTGCAAAAAAACAAATAGCTTCCTACTGTCAAACCCCCCCCCCCCTTACGTTGTGTGTGATTTCATTTCATGTTTGGTCTATTTGCTGAAACTCGTCCGGATGTGTTCACCAGTCCTGACTCGACTTCTGCTTGATGAACTTTAGGGACATGTAGTAGAGTCCCATGAAGACGAGACAGACGACCAGCAGGATCAGGTAGCACATGTACAGAGGGTACTGGTTCATGTTCATGGACTCCACCACCTGGGAGACAAACAGGGGGTTAGAGATGAGTTTAGAAGTTTAGAAAAACACCCTGTAAATAAATCATATTCAAATCTTTTCAAAATACTTCTCTTGGTGAATCAACTATTTATTCCAACAAAACTAAACTGTAAAACCAGGACTATTCTAACCAGTGTGCCTTGACTCTGTAGGAAACACAAGGGTTCGGTTTATTTTTGTAACTACATCATCATACACCCACATGTATGCCGTCAACGTTGATAGTGATGTTCCCGATTCCGACGGGGTACTTGTTTCCTCTGAACTGCACCTGCAGCATGCCCTCGAAGCCCCATCGCATGAAGGAGGCGTGAGAGAGCCAGGACGCCACTGAGGAGTCAGACACAAGCACAGGTGCAAACATCGTCAATCTTTTCTCAAGCTGTTCTCTGTCCTCACACATTCGCTTTAATTCTCCTGAGTGTGATTAAGTAAGGACGATTAAAATGTCTTCTCACCAAGCCACATGTTCTCGAGGTTGATGACGAACCCTCCGGTCAAATAGAAGACGGTGAACAAGGAGTTGCCCATGAAGGCGGAGGTCTGCAGGGTGGGCAGCGAGGCGGCTACGAACAGAGCCATGGCTCGGCTGCAGTAAACCATCAGCCACACCAGCAGGAAGTTGAGCAGGAACCGGTCCGGAGCCTCGTTGAGCCCCGCCAGCCAATAGATGGGAACACCGTAGACCAAGGTGAACACACAGTGCTCTGGTAACTCCCCCAGGACCTGAAGACATTCAGATATACAGGACGGACAGGGACACAGAGAAGGGTTGATCCTGGCTGGTGGACTTGGATACTCGGGGTACTGAGTACTATTGTCTTCTAGGACACATATAGACTGTGCTCTATATTTTTACTGAGACCCAACATGTCTCCATGAGCAGCACATGGTTACGGTCAAAAGGACAAACTTGCTTTTAACAGGTAGAAACCTTGAACAGAGCTGAGTTCTGTCTTTGTGAGGACCAGTTTGACCATTGGACTTCAGAGGACACACACGTGTTCAAAAGAATTCAGGCATTCGGGTTAGAATTACGTTTAGTTTAAGGAAAGACTACATTTTGAAAGTATGTAAATATGTTTTTGTGTGTATTTGTATACTGACACATATTACAGTGATGTTCATGACTGTACTGTGACTCCTGTGTGGAGCAAGACTGACCCCTACAGGAGATGCAGTTGTGTCACTGTGGTTTACCTTGGCGAAGAAGTAGGATGTGACAGAGTACATGCCGTCCTCCAGCTCGTGGTAGAGCATGGCTCTCTCCGTGTGACCTGCAGGCAACGTTACATGAGTCTGATGATGCTCAGTTCACTGTTCATTCTGTAGGTACAATATAATACCTTCTGGTTTACAGGCCCAAAACTAAAAGTCTCTAAATTTGATGCACAAATTGAATTATTATGGTCAAGATTTTTATATGGATGTAATTACTATGTAAACTTGGATGATGGAGAATTTATATTTTCCAAAACCTGGTACAAACTGTCACTAGTCCATTAGAGCACAGTAAACCAACATCACCAGTGTAATCTGTGAGTTTATAATAGTCTCATAATTAAATAAAAACCCAGATGTAACCTGATAAAGAACAAAACAAAGACTGTCTTTCTCACTCATGGCTTTAATGACTCACATTTAGCTATGACGTCCAGCACCACAGCAAATGGGGTGAGAGCTCCGATCATGTAGAGGAGGGCCACTGTGTCCTTAATGGACAGACGCTCTCCTCCTGCCCCGTAGTACAGACAACCGATCAGCAGTGACATGAGCAGAGCCTCGAGGCCGTGGACCAGTAAGGTGACCAGGTCTCTGAAATCGTTGTACATGTGACGCCTGGGGGAGAAGAAAAGAGATCAGTTTTCAGTTGTGTGTGTCTGTGTGTGTGTCTGTGTCTGTGTGTGTGTCTGTGTGTGTGTCTGTGTGTGTGTCTGTGTGTGTGTCTGTGTGTGTGTGGTTACCTGATAAGGGTAGTAAATTGGTGAAGTCTGCCTGGCAGTCTGTTTCTTTGCTGGTAAATTGTGATGACTTCCTCTCCCTCTGTCCTCTGAGGGCTGCAAGAGATGCAGGAAAGAAGAAAGCAACGGATGAGTTTGGTTTAAGAGTTCAGATTTTATTCGTAAACAAAAGTTATTCTTTCTGCATGAAGGAGCAGAGAGGAAGATCACTTTACATTTTTTTATAATGTTATTAAAATTCATAAATGTAACTCTTGAATTACACAACCCATGGGATGCTCTGGCCTGGTGACTCTATTTCAGGAGTGCTTTGGTCCATGCCTGCATTCTGTGACTGTTGTTCAGTGTATTTAATAATCATTACAACTTTTTGGTTGTGAAATTTAAAGAATTAACTTTCAGGGGAGCCAGTTGGAACCTTAATCAAATGATCTGACGATCAGTAATTGTTTTATTTTGATTACATCATGTTTCGACGTGCATAAACATAAAATTGGGATCAGGTTTCTGGTGATGAAGTGACACCACAACGCTGAGAGAAAAGCAAGTTAAGAAAGAAAAACAGATGAGACATAGTGAGATAAGACGAATGGCAACAAGAGAAAGTTGGAGAAAGAATGTGAGAGTTGAGCTTTGCTTCAATATTGCTCAATTTATATTTAATATTAAAATCATTCACCAGCGTTTTCTCGTCGTGGGAACTGCAGAGTTTCTCTGTAATGTTGTGAGCTCTCCATCTAATTATGAAAAGGGCCTTGAGATAATGTCTGTTGTGATTTGTGAATACAAATGAAATTTAATTGATTATAATTATTACATTATAATTTCCCAGAGCTATACTCAGCCACTTTTGACCAACTAATTGTCCAAATATATCATGTTTTGTAAAACACTGAAATAATGTAACCAGTAAATAAAATATTAGCTGATTAATTTTCAGGTCCTGTATTTTTTCAAATTGTTCAAATGTGTAGTGAAGCAAACAGGCGGAGCAACAGAAACTACCTTTCAGTGTGTGTCGGCGCTGCGTTGGTCCCAGCAGGTTTCCACATGTGGTCGTGTGTGTCTCTGACCTTTCCCATGAAGTGCTCAGACAGAGTTCTGGCTCGCTCCAAACACTCGGCCTCTCGATCTGGACTGCGTCGATCGATACTGATCAGATCAACTGGACACAGCAAAATGAGACTTGATAAAATAACATAGGTCACATTTGACACCTCTGATTTTAGTTTTAAGTGTTAGAAAGAAAAGGCTGCAGATGAAAGCTGCAGTGGCGAAAACATTGGAATCATTATAAAGCAGCTTTATCTAAGTTGTAAATGAGTGTGGGAGTAATAACAGCTTTAAAAGGTTGTACGTTTTTTCATATAAAATAATTTTGACAGCTTTATAAACACACTGACCATAGAAGTCGGAGGGGTTGCAGTATCGTGGGCAGGGGTATCCCAGCGCAGTAAAATAAGGCACCATGTCACGAGCAGCGCCGCAATAAACCGCCGAGCCCGACGACAGCAGGACGACGAGGTCGAAGAGCTGGAAGATGTCCGATCGAGGCTGGTGGACCGACAGCAGGACCAGGCGGTTTCCACGGGCCAGGCGGGACAGTGTGATCACCAGGTTGTGAGCTGTGAAGCTGTCCAGGCCGGACGTGGGCTCGTCCAGGATCAAAATACCTGGAATGTAAAAAAGACAAATGAAACAATGCATGAAATGATCACTCTTGGTGATCAGTGGGGATTCAGGAGTTGTGATGTTGCAGAAATGATCCAAACAGGTACAATAGAGGGCAGAGATTTGAACAGATGATGGAAATCAGCAGATGTTTCAGTGAACTTTGTAAAGTTTAGTAAATTTAAAACTATTCTACAATAGGGTTGTTGAAAATCAGAAAGGTATGATAATCACAGAGACAAGTATCACAGGAAAAGGATGAGCGACTGTGATCGGTGAACATTAATGATACCATCAATTTCCTTTTCTATAAGTGTCAAAGGTTGATTTGTATGAAACTGAGCTGAGAACAACTGACCAGCTCCTCCTTGATCTGCCTGATAAATATGATGATTTCTGTGACTAAGCTACAAACCCAGTTCCATTAGATGTCTCACTTCTCATAAAGCCAGACGGATGAAAGCTTTTTTGTTTCTCTCACCTGGGTTCCAGAGAAGTTGGACAGCTATGCTGACTCTCCTCCTCTCTCCTCCAGAAACCCCCCTCACGTAGTCGTTTCCCACCCTGGTGTGTGCACACTGTCGCAGCCGCAGTTCTGCGATGACATCATCCACCTGTGACAGGAAACATGGTTTGATTTTGATCTTATAACATTCTGAGGGAAAAGAAATAGATAAAAACATCACACTGGGTCCAAACTCAGATAATATGCATGGTTTATATTGAGGATTTGGATTACAAGGTGGGTTGTCAAGAGTTTTTTTGGGGGCATTGATCTCAGTTAAAACACCCTCAGGCTGTGTTTGTGAATAATTTCTGTGTGGAGTTTTACCCTCTGGTCTCTCTGATCCTGTGTGAAGTGGGTGGGGAGCCTCAGTTTGGCGACAAAGGCGAGAGTCTCGCGGACGGTGAGGTGAGGAAGAAGGCGGTCGTCTTGACGCACGTGAGCGATGCTCTTCTTCACCAGCTGCGGGGTGCTGGGCTTCCCGTTGATCAGAATCTGACCGGATGTTATCGTGCTGCCCTCATCACGACACGTGATGATGTCCAGCAGAGATGTTTTACCACAACCTGAGAGAAGAGAGTTCCACATTTAAAGCAGTTCTCACTACATGATGTTCTTTTAAATAACCCATGCTGTGTCAGTTAGTGAACATTAGCCTCCATAAGACCTCCTCTCTCTGTCTAACACGAGATTTGAAATGTGTTAGTTTATCCGATGGTATATTTCTTTGTGTTTTTAATATTGTTACTATATGTTATTCAAGTAATATTTATTATTTTAGGTAGTTTTAGGTACATGTGCCACTGTATCTATTCAGAAAGAAACACACTTCATTACCCCACTCTGTGCATTTAGTCACTTCCTAGCTTCTTATTCGTTTGATTAGATTATAAATGACAGTTGGTTGACATGTAGTAGTGGTCATGTATAATGTAGTGTCCTTGTCACTGGACTCAGATGTGTTGGTCCTTCTTTGACCACATGTAATCGAGGTGTTGATCGTCCATGACTTCACGCTGACATGAGGATGTTGGCCAAAAATAGAATCCAAGCAGGTCATTACATGTATTGGCTCGATTAGAAACAGTAATGTTTGAAAGCTGTGTGTGTTGTGTTGTGTGTTTGTCACCTGAGCTGCCGATGATGGCCAGCATCTGACCGCTGCGGACTCGGAGGCTGAGTTTGTTGATGGCCGTCTGCTTGTTTCCTTTCACCTCCCACGGCAGCTTGAACTCTGACAACCTCTCATACCAGGGGATCTGAGCCGCAGTGTCCACCTGTGAACACAATGAGCACATACAGTCTACACGCGTGTATGATACAGACAGACGTGCATATGTAAACATGTTAAAACAGTTAGAGGATAAAGAAAACTGCACATGAGGGCAGAGCCGGGATCCGTCAGTTACCTCACAGTGCAGGTTGTTGACCTCCAGCTCGTTGCACCCTCCGCTGTAGGTGAAGTAGAGACTGCTGTCTTCTTCAGATGAGAATAACTCTGTGTCTTGATGCTGTTTGAGAGGAGACAACAGGTCAAAGTGTTCAGAACAGACAAGGACACACTGATATGGATTTTTAACTTTAGTTTGTGCAACCAGACACTAGAAAACAACAGATTTTAGCTCAGATGGCATTAATCCATTAACAGAGATACCAATGACGGAAGCTGGTTAACGTTTAGTAACTTTCACTTTATCCAAATGTTCCAAATGTTTTCTTGCTTGTGTGTGGCACTCAAAAAAAATCAACCTTTGCAGCGCTGCAGTATCAGTATATCTTGAAATATGAACTTTATCCCTTTATCTGATTTTTATAACAAAGTTTTTTGGAGTTAAGTTTTAAATATGCATCAATTTTAAAGTCAAATTGACTCATTAAGTACACAATTAAAGTATTCATATTGAAATCTGTTCAAACTTTGAAATACATTAAATATTTTCTAGATAAAACATAATATACTTTAGTATTTGTCATTTTTAAAGGAAATAGTTTTTTTCTTTCAAACTTAACATCTTAAACTAACTCTATCATTACACTTTATCAAACGTGGGATAATGATTACCGGTTATATGACATCACACAAACTTGTGATACTAATAATCAGATTAAGGCACACAAATGATGACTTCAGTGGTTCTGCAGCAGACAAAGAAAGGAGCTTGATGGCAGGTCTGGTTAGAAGGAAACAACGTTAACTCATAACTTTGATTTATTCGAGGTTTATCAGGAAATTAGCAGAAGAACCTTAAACTAATACATTTCAGACAATTAAAAAGAATAACATGTTTTTATCCTGATGTTTGTGAAACCCCAGGTAATAAACTGACCTGTGAGGAGCCTTTTCTGTGGTTGAGGCCCACGTCCATGTCTGTGTCCATAATGATGCAAGTTGCTGGTTTGTCGGGTCAAGAGGTCAACGTTGCCCTTTTTTCTCTTCTGCTTTGATCCTCTCTTTTTCCCTCTGAGGGGTTCTGCAGGGTCTTTTTTTTTCCTCCGTTCCTTTCACCCTTTCTTCTCCCTGTTTGGTAGTTTGACTTCAGTCCAGCTGAAGATCTCCTTGTGTCTCAGCTCAAAAGCCTTTTCACTTAAAGTGTCCAGATTCGTGCCATGTCAGTCGCTCGTCTGATCGGTCCCGTCAGCCATAGCTTTCCTGGTCGCAGTGCGCATTTGAGGACCGAGGTGAGACTGACAGCCAGTCAGTCAACTCTGCATGTGTTTTTGTCTTCTTTATACAACTGCAGATCAAAGTTCTCTGAGATAACGCAACATCCACTGTGTGTTTATGGTACCACAGAGAAACCAGGGCTCGCAGACTTCTGCTTCGCACAGGGAATGAAGATACAAAGTCTCGGACTGTTAGACAACTCAAGTTTAGAGCTCTGCACGCTGTTTACTGGTGGATATGAAAAAACTGATCTGAGACGGACTTGATACGTTTTGTCATTTGGATGTTGTTTGCGGCAGACTGGCCAGAGACATGAACAACATTTATTCGGTTCAGGCGGAGGAACCAGAGAACAGGAGCAAAGTTAAAGAGTCCTTCACATTTGTGTCGGAGGAAAAGAGGAATGTCTGGAAGGACAGTAGAGAGGAGCGGTCGGAGCCCTCCTGTTGTCTGAGCGTCAGCCAGATCTCCTACACAGTCAGGTAACTGCTGCAGAAACAGCCTGCGAGATCAGACAGCATTCCTGGGTCAAGCTTAGTTTAATTTTGTGTGGTTTGTTCCTAGTGCTCCTGAAAATAAATGGACACAAGCAAATCTTTGCCTAGAGGCTGTAGAATAAAATAAAACACATTACTGATTGTTAATACTGTAGATTCATATTTATATTTAGATACATGGTGATCATTTTGAGTGGGGATTGATTCAGTTCTGTGAAAAATGTTGCTCATGCCCTTGTTTGTGTTTGTTTGTGTGTGTGTGTGTGTGTGTGTGTGTGTGTGTGTGTGTGTGTGTGTGTGTGTGTGTGTTGTAGTGAGCGTGTGGGTCCATGGTGGGACCTACCTTCCTACAGGAAGCGATGGACTCGTCAGATCCTAAACGATGTCTCCTTCCATGTAGACAGCGGGCAGATCATGGGCATACTGGGAAATTCAGGTCCACCCTCTACTCAGTCCAAAGTTTGAACAAAAATAATAAATAGGTTTAAATTAACGTAAACAGTGGTTCAATTGTCTTCTATGAAAATTTCTCTGAGTGGTTTATGTATTAGACACTGCATCCAAGAAGAGATATATGTTTGATCACGTGTGCAGGATCTATAGTGATCACTACCTACAATGAGACAACACTCTTTCTTCAGAATTAAAAGAGAAAACCCATGCAGGACAGATGTACTTATTTGTGTGTGTTTGTGTTGTAAAGGCTCAGGAAAGACCACGTTATTAGATGCCATCTCAGGGAGGATTGGACACCGAGCTACTCTGCTGGGTGAGGTCTTCATAAATGGCAGGAAACTGAAGAGAGAAGAGTATCAGGACTGTTTCTCCTATGTACTGCAGGTAACACACAGAAACACACAAACATGTCGGAGAGGACTCATACAGAATACGCTTTCGTTAGGTTTTCTCAATGTTTCAAACTGGGCTCTCAACACTACTCTGACAAGAGATGAAAAGAATTTTAAAATGATGATGTAGTGTAGTGAGATGATGAGATGCAGTGTGGTGAGTTTCCTCTTTACCTCTGTACCTCATTATCTATACCAAAACATCTATAGATTTAATACTAAGGGAAAAAGTTAGTCAAAAGTTATAAGCACCTAATCACATCCATACACATGAACATTTCACTTTTCCCAGGCTCTGACCACACACTGACGTCAGGTTAGACTTTACCCGACAGTATCACGAGTGAGCGGCCACATGCAAACACTTTGTATGTGTTTGAGTTGTCTGTGGTTTTACTAACCACCATTAAAAACAAAATTAAAACAACATTTTAAACAAACTCCTGAAAGGTTCCTCAGCCTCTGTATGAAATTAACTTAAAACCCTTGATAGCCTCCTCATACACTTAATCTCTCAATGAGAGGTGCTCAAGTGTATCCACGGCCCGAATTAAAAACACTGGTGTAAAACTGGCCTCGCTTCCTTTCAAATCATCTCTCTCCTCTCGCTGATAACACGCACCCCCCACCCTGCCTCCTCGGCTCTCTAAGCCTCGTCATTAACTCCCCTTGCTAAGCTGAAGATGAGGAGGTGATATGAGCTGCTGATATTAAAGTCATTCAGAAGAGAGACTAAGGAGAAGTGGGACTGGGAGGTGCCATGTGTTAATTGAGGCAGGCAGGCGGTTCAGAGGGTTCAAGCAATGTGTGTGTGTGTGCACATGTTTTGTGCAAATGTATATTATAGTTGGTCTCATGCATATATGAACATACAACATAAATGGATGTACATGGATGTGCAAAGATGCTGTAGATAAACTCTCTTTCAGATTTGAGGATATTGATTCTAAGGGTGTAGAATCAGAATTGGAAAAATGAAGCACGTTTCCATCTTATCTTGCATTAGGATGAAAGAACCATGTGATATTGTTCTGCCTCGTTGCATCCTCATGGGTTCCTCCTGTTTCTTTTCATTACTATCTCCCCTTCTCTCTTTGTCTCCGTCAGAGTGATAATTTGTTGAGTTATCTGACAGTGGAGGAGACGCTGACATACACAGCCCAGCTCGCCCTGCAGAGACACTCGGCTGAAGCGATCAAGAAAAAGGTGAATTTTTAGAGCACATGCTTTGTGAGTTTTCCTTTGGCTAGACACTAGGCCAAGGAAAGGACACAAAGGAGATGAAAGGCATGGGTGTGGAGAATTCTTGAAACAGTATTTATATCTTTATATCATCGAAAAGAGAAGATCTGCATTAGTTGGGAATATTTGAGGAGGTACATGACCTACCTAGCTTGTCACCTGACGCTTTGACCTCTTGCTTCTGTGCAGGTATCCACCGTGATGGCCGAGCTGAGTCTGAGTCACGTGGCCCATAGTGTTATTGGAGGTCGTATTTTCCCAGGGATCTCTGGGGGGGAGAGGAGGAGGGTCTCCATAGCCAGCCAGCTACTTCAGGACCCAAGTGAGTCTACCTCTGTGGCTGGGATAAGCCTCAGGAGGAACACAGGAACTTAAATGAGGAGATTTTGAGGTGATAAACTGATGCATTAGAGCTTAACTGAGCTTTGAAACGTATTATGTGAATATATTTCATACATATACTCTTAGAAGCAACAGAACCAGAGTCTAGATTGTTTCCATCCTGAGATCAGAAGAAAGTTCAGCTCCAGACTTTTGGAAGTCCACTCATGTGAAAAACAAAGGGATCTAAGAGAGAGTGGAATACGAAAAGGACACTGAAGGGGATGAAGGGAGAGATGGAGAACAGTAATGAAAGGCTGGGTTATCACACCAGAAAGGGAATGAGCAGAGACTCACCTCTTTGTGTGTGTGTGCTTATCCCAGGTATAGTTTATCAGGTCTACAATCCTCGAGGGAGGATGAAGGGTCTCAGTCCTCATTCAGGATTAGAATAGCCATGGACACACACACACACACACACNACACACACACACACACACACACACACACACACACACAGTCACACACAGAGTAATGAGGAGTTCCCATTCGCTGCCTCTCCAATCAACCAGGAAATGAATTAATCTCACAATTAAAGCATCTGCTAATTCCACTCTGCTTTCATAAAGCAAAGAGGCAATCTTTTAATTGTCCTAATTAGAGTAATTAACTAAAAAAAAAAGAACTCACTTATCTTCATAAGTTGAGTCGGCCCCGCTGAGAGTCCTGCATGTGCCACTTAATAAAAAGTACATTTAAAAGTTCCAAACTTAAAAGAAGGAAAAAGTTATTTGTGTCTTTCTCTTGTTCTCAATGTTTCAACGTGTGTCAAACTTCCATGGGGGTGTGATGGTGTCATTGGGGTAATGTCGTTGCAGGGGTGATCCTATTGGATGAGCCGACCACTGGCCTGGACAGCATGACCGCCAATCAGATTGTGGTGCTCCTGGCAGAGCTGGCCCGGAGGAACCGTATCGTCATAGTGACCATCCACCAACCACGCTCCGAGCTCTTCAGGGTGAGTTTCAGGAGAGAGACTGAATAAAACTTCCTCACATTCTGCTGAACACACATAAGCATCAGACGTACTTTTGAAGCCATTTCAACTTGTCATGAGTGTGTCTGCGAAACGCATATGTCCCGCAGGTGTTCAGCAGGATAGCTATAATGAGTCGTGGAGAGCTGGTGTTCTGTGGGCAGCCAGGAGAGATGGTGGACTTCTTCAGTCAATGTGGTTATGAGTGTCCAGAGTACTGCAACCCATTTGACATCTACGGTACTGTATAGTACAATCCTGGATTATTTCATTTGTCTAAACACAAAGAAATAAAGAATATGTAGAGAACAGTATCTTAAAGAATGAAGCCTGAGGATCCCAGTCATTAAAATATCCCAACTGCTGTGACTACAGTTGACTTCACCTCAGTGGACACACGCAGCAGTGAGAGGGAGGCAGCCACGTTCAGTCGCATGCACGAGATCACGTCATCCTACCAGAGGTCTGCCATCTACCAAAGCATGCTGGGAAAAATAGAGCAGAGCCTGAAGCGGGAAGAGAAACCAGTCGTCCCCTTTAAGAGCAAAGAGTCACCCAATGGTGCAGCCAAACTGGAAGTTCTGCTCAGGTCAGTGCCGAGCAAGTCTTCAATATCAAATTGGATGTGGACATTGTCCATAAACAAAATAAATGATAAGGAATTTTTATTTAAACTACAGAAATTATTAGGTTCACATTTTGGTGTTCTATCTCTGCTTTCTAGAAATTCAACAAAAGATTATTCATCCGTTCATCTCATTAAATGTGTCTACTTGTGTGTGTTTCTGTGTATTTATATGGTTATCTTCTGTGCCTGTTTTGCGTGCAGGCGGACTTTAAGAAACCTTTCCAGAGACAGAATGGGTGTTCTGATGCGTCTGTCCCAGAACCTGATCTACGGCCTCTTTGTGGCCTTTTTCGTCATGCATCTCGACAACGACGTCACAAAGGGTGCCTTGCAGGACCGCATTGGAATCATCTATCAGAGCATTGGTGCTTCGCCCTACACTGGCATGCTGAACGCTGTGGCACTCTGTGAGTTCCTCCCACACATCTATATCTGGGGGAGAAACACTCCGAGCTTTGGTGTTGTCCAACAATTTGACACATCAGTTGTGCTCGTTGTGCTCTACATACTCACATAAACAACAAAAACAGCTTGTCCGTTAAGATGTTTTTCAATATTTTAATTGATTTCTCAGAGTGAATGGATCTTGATGAAAAGAATCAGGTTTGTTTAGGGGACTGATATTTATGAGTGTGTGCAATTTGGTGCAGATCCAAATATAAATCTGGATCTAGTGAATTTAAAGGTGGTTTAATAATGTGGTAGGTCTGAGGTTTGCGCTCTGCTGAGTTCCATTCTACTTTAATCATTATTATTTCAAAATGTATCCTTCCATTTATTGTTATGGTTCTGTTTTCAAATCAAATGTTTTAACTTAACTTTAATATTAGAGACAAAAAGACAAAACTTTAACTGTGTAGTGAGCGAAGTCAATTCAGCATTTACATAATATTTCCATAACAGTCCATCAAACAGCATGTGTCTGATAAGATCGCCCAATAAATATCTACACGAGGTGGACATGATGACTTCAGGGACATTCTGAAGCGCGTGTGGTCGATCACCTTAGTGAAAGTGATGCATTATCTTTGTTAAACAGCATGTTTGAAGCATCTTTATCGCAGCTGCATAAGCTCACTTATCTCTTGTTCTGATGTGAGCAGTATTTTTCTTCTCTTCAGCAAAAAATGTGTAAAGTCTAGCTTGGATTTCACTTGGTGAAAGCGTCATAAGAGATTTCATGTACTTTGAGAGTCGCTGTTGGGTCAGATTAAAAGATTGAGCTAAAGGTTGTGAGTTAATCTATAGTTGTATTATAGATTAGAACAACTGTCAGCAGTTTTCTAGCAAAAGAGCTTCCATTTCTACATGATGTGCACAAAAACTGATGTGTAACCTTCTGTTATTTGCTGTCAAGTTCCCACTGGCTTTTCTCAGTTGTTTGACAAGTTCAGTTCCAAAGGGAGAGTGACCTTTACTCCATTTAAAGCACAATGAACCCAAGTGCCTTTTTATCCAAAGGACCTATAGGGCCTATGATATAGTTATATATACTACTGTATTATCTATGTGTGCTTGTTTTGTGTCCTTCTGGTATTTATAGCTGCTGCTGTGACTTGTAGTAACCCTGAATGAAGACATACACTCACTTACATGCTACAAGCACAAAGCGACAAAACAAAGCTGAACCCCAGCATGAACATCAACTTAACTAAGAACCAAAACCAACACTATGTTAACAGCTTTATGTGATTCCTATTGTGGATCTGACCAATAATTATTCTAAACTTCTGTGAGGTTTATCTCTGATCTTGCGACACTCTTTACGTAGACAAGCAGGGCAAATAAAATATTATTATTTTAGCAAAATGCGATAAGGTTTTATAGGATCTGTTTCATCATATGCTTTGTAGACAATATACAATACAACTTAAAAGATGATATGGACAATTATATATTTAAAGGTACAGTGTGGAGAGTTTTGAGCTGAACACCTCACCCTCCCCTCCCAAACATGAAAGAGAACCTGTGGTAGCCTGCATTTGTCATAAAAACTCAAAAGGTGTTTAGTTTGTCCAGTCTGGACCACTGTAAAAAACATGGTGGCCTGCGTAGAGAGGACCCCCTCGATGTAAATATAAAGTATTTAAATATAAAGGGCCTTTTCTGGGGCAAAGAAAGAAAAAAACTACAATTCATACAATTAAGATGAAACAAACTGGTGAAGACATCATGAGGATTATTTTACATTAAATCTTACACACTGGACCTTTAACTAGTGAATGTTGATGATCTCTTTAATGTATTTCTCAGTGAACAGCTGAGTCCGAAATCTCAACTTCAAGGCTCTGGCTGTTACAGATACTGAGGATAAGAGATGTGATAAGAGACTGGGCAGGAGTCACATTGGAATTTAAAAGGTAATTAAAAGTACTCCATAAGCACCCAAACAGCCCGAGGTAATGACTGGGGATATCATGGTGACCTTGACTCTCATGGACAACAACTGATAGGAAACAGAAACGGTTTTAATAAGATGTCTGGATAAAAACCAAGAACGCCTGCAAATCTGGAACTTTGACAGCACGAGTTCACACGATAAAGACAGATCGGTAAACTGCTCTTCATTAGTGATTGTGTTTTAGAGAAGGGATAAAGAAACATTCATTATGTGTTTCAATAATGCAGCTCTCTTTATTTGTATTATGAAAAAGGTACTAGTCCACCCAGTGACTATTTAACTGATGATTTGTACCTCACTTATTTATTGGAGTCACTTCAGAGCTTCACTTTCTTTTATCTCGTCACATTATCTGCTACGTCTTATTCAGTCGTTCTCTCTCTTTGTCCTCTACAGTCCCGGCGTTGCGAGCCATCAGTGATCAGGAGAGTCAGGATGGTCTGTACAGTAAATGGCAAATGTTCTTGGCCTACATCTTCCACATCCTGCCCCTCAGCATCCTGAGTGTCGTCATCTTCACCTCTTTCCTATACTGGTCGGTACATAGTGTGTATGAGTTGTATCAACCTCTCTGAGCATTAACTCTTATTTTAACTCTCCCTAAATTCCTCTCAGGACGGTGGGGATGCACCCCGAGACCTTACGGTTCCTGTGTTTCACTGCTGTGGTCCTCGTACCACATATCATAGGTGAGTTGATACAGTCAAGGGGGAAATATTCTTCCACTTCAGTGAACAAGCTCCCAAGCATTGCAGTGATTTTCAAGAACATAAATAGGAAAATAACAAGAGCTCATCTCTAAAATTCTTATCCTTTAACACTTAATTTATTTAATGTCATATTTCCGCTGTTTCTGGCCGATACTATGTTTATTCTCTGTTCTGCAGGCGAGCTGCTGACTGTGGTGTTATTAGGAGTGGTCCAAGACCCGAACATGGTCAACACTGGAGTGGCTCTGCTCAATATCGCAGGGATCTTGGTGGGATCTGGCTTCCTAAGGTGAGACACCAATATTCTTAATTGAATCATTAGCTTGAAGTAACTGTTTGTCCTTGTCAGGTCTTCACTGGAAATAATTGTACTGTAGTAGCCAATAGCAGCGGTAACATACTTTCCTTTCCTCCGCCATTCAACAGAAGCACTCAGCAGATGCCGAAGGTCTTCCAGTGGCTCAGCTACCTGACCTTCCAGAAGTACAGCTGTGAGCTGCTCATCGTCACAGAGTTCGAAGGACTCAACTTCACATGCAGTACGTTTCTTTTTTTTTTAACCCTGGACCATCCTGTTTGTGAAATGAGGTCGAAGACTTTTAGTATAGGTCAAACACTGTGTTCCAGCCAATTCCAGCACGATTTTTACCTTTATATGAATATAAACACTGAAAATCACTAGAACACACTTCGTCAGTGCTTATATGCTGTTTATATATATATATATATGGTGCATTTAGCTAAAACCATTGTAGTCTGCAACAAGGCTGCAATTAATACATTTATGAAGGCTATAATGTTCAGTAAGTGTTCATTCATCCTATCAGGAGGCTGCAGTTGATCTGTGGTGCATTACACCAACAGGTGTTTCCATTATTTTGTTCACCGTTAGATCAACAAGGCTAAATAATTAACTGTAAAACTGATGCATTTAGGATTTACTGCAGGATAGATGCATCACACTGTATCAGTGTTCAATAGATGTACCTAATGAAGTGTAAACTAAAGAAGAGCTAAAAGATTAAATATTGGCAGGCACCGATTTCTGCTTATCAGTTTTACATTTTATCTGATGCTCTTTTTAAGATTGGTTTCTACAGTGGGTTCATAGATCACATAGGTTCAAGGACACTTGGCAGGGAACACTGAGGGAAACTCATTGGCCGTGTGACTGGTTGTGTTGCAGATATTTCCAAACCTTTGCCGGGAGCCTGTATGATCACTCATGGAAGTCAGGTCATCGATGAGGGATATCCAGGCGCTCTGTCGAGATACACACTAGACTTTGTTCTGCTCTACTCCTTCCTCCCTGCCCTCCTGCTGCTCGGTATGATCAGCTTCAAGATCCGAGACAAGCTCGTGCGTCACTAGAACCACAGACCTCAACTGAGTTTGGTTCAGAGGATCCAACAACATATTAAGGACACATTACTAACAGTAAGATCATGTTGACTGAAGATGAGCTGAAGTATTGTGGCTCTTACTAACTCATCATCTGCATTTGCACTTAATCCTTGTCCTCTAAC